GCTGGGTGCCTCGTGGGCAGTACCCCAGCTGACCCTGCCAGCCATCTAGCGAGCTGGGTCTACAGTCCCCCCTTACAGGGGAGGAAACTGGGTTGTCCAGGGGAGCGGCCCGGTGGGCACCGATTCGTAAGTTGCGTGGAGATTCGAGCCCCATCAGGGCTCCCAAAGCCATTAGCTCTCTCCACCTCTCCACTCTGCCTCCTGCAGATTTAGAAAGATTCACACTGTTACAGAGGCTGAAGACATTTTCCTTGACAACCATGGGGTCCAAAGAAGCAGCCTAGGATTTTCCAGACGGCTGAGCAGTTAGCCGGGTATAACACAGCGTGAGTAACAACCATCATGCGGGTTGAGTAATGAGCTGGTGGAGGTCAAATGACATGGCCCCCTTGACCAATGGCCAGCCTCGGAAAGCCCTCCGCCCTGCTCCGCCTCAGTTTCCTCCTTTGGCCAACGGGGTGGTTGGAATGAAGATTGCTGAGATGTGCTCCTACCCTGGCATTCTTTGAATGCCGGAATATTCCTGGGGATTCTGTCACTTGCTTTTCTCACTTATCACCTGGGGCTCGGCAGAAATGAGTGTAGTCTTGTCCCCCTTCTCTGCCCTCAGCCCCACTGACATAAGAGGGGGTCTTTTAGAATTGAACGAAGTACTGGGAAGAGTAGGAGATGGTGGGGGGGGGGCAAGCGTTACAAGCATATGGGGTTTTCTCTGGGGCTTTCTCTGGGGGGAGGAAAGTGTCTGGGGTCCCCGCAGAGGTGATGACGGCATATCGCTGCGAATTTGCTCACTGCCACCGAATTGTACACATCAGAAACACATCAAAATGGTTAATTTTATGTTACAGAATCTCACTTCAATTTATTTGAGTTTATATATTTATTTTGAAAGAGAGAGAGAGAGAGAGAGAGCTGAAGGGACAGAAAGAGGGGAAGAGAGAGGGCATCCCAAGCAGGCCCCACACCGTCAGCACACAGAGCCAGGCATGGGCCTCGATCCCATGAGCCCAGAGGTCGTGGCCTGAGCTGAAAGCTAGAGTCGGACGCCCCACTGACTGAGCCACCCAGGCGCCCCTCACTTCAGTTGAAAAAGTTGACGAATGTCGCCTTCACTCGTGAAAACTTCCCACAATTCCACATGTCTTTAGAATGAAGGCCAAAATGGTTCTCCTCAAACCGCTGGCCCAGGCTCTCCCTTCGGCCTTGCCGCCCCCGACTTCATCTGCTTCCCCAAGCCACAGACACACACGCAGGCTCCTACTCTGTGGTCCTCCCGCCCCTGCCCGGGCTGCTCCGAGCTCCCTACCCTACAAATCCCTAGCTGTGGCCTACTCATTCTTCAAAACCGAAACCACTCGTGGAAGCCTTCGTGGAAGGAGGGAAGGACGGAGGGAAGCCACCCTCCTGTGTGGGTGCAACGTCCTTGCACTCCCCTTGATCATGGAGTTCTCACCCAGAATTATAATCTCCTGCGTAAGTGCAGACTCCCGGCGCTGTCTCCTGGAACTGCCTGCAGTGATGGTCTCTTTTCACGCCGCCCGATATGGTGGCCACCAGCCACATGGGGCTTCTGAGCCCTTGAAGTGTGGCTCGTGTGTCTGGTGTACGAGACCGGGGGGCCCCCAATAGGCGGGGCTCAAATTTTAACCTGCATCAAAGAAAAATCGCCCGCAGGACATGGTAAAGCACGGACTGCTGGGAAAACGCGGATCGCCAGGATCTACCCCCAGAGTTTCTGGGTCAGTAGTCTGAGGGGTGGTGAGGTCCTAGAATTTGTGCTGTTAAGTTCCACTGATCTAACCTGGAAGTTCTAGACTCCCTACAGTGTCCACGTGGACATTCTAGCTCAGTGGTTCTCGGAGTGTGATCTCTGGACCAGCCTCATCAGCATCGCCCAGGAGCCTGTTAGAAACGCAACCTCTCCGCGGCCATCCCAGACTTACTGCGTCGGACCTGCGGGACCCCCAGGGGACTCCGCGCATTAAAATCTTAGAAACACTGTTCTAGACTGTCACTCCTTTTTTTTTAAATTTTTTTTTTCAACGTTTATTTATTTTTGGGACAGAGAGAGACAGAGCATGAACGGGCGAGGGGCAGAGAGAGAGGGAGACACAGAATCGGAAACAGGCTCCAGGCTCTGAGCCATCAGCCCAGAGCCCGACGCGGGGCTCGAACTCCCGGACCGCGAGATCGTGACCTGGCTGAAGTCGGATGCTCAACCGACTGCGCCACCCAGGCGCCCCGACTAGACTGTCACTCCTTAAAGCCAGGGGCTTTGTTGAATCTTTGCGTCTCCAGCACTGAGCACACTTCCTGGCTCGTAATAGGTGCTCAACAAATGCCCGTAGGAGCAAGGACGGAAAGGAAAAGCGGAACTTGCCCAGCTGGTAACTGTCTTTCTCACAGGGCAAAGTACTTCCCTCAAAGAGCAGGGCCCCCTTCCCCACAGCTAACCCTAATTCACTCTTTCCAAACGGTCTCGTAAAGGGGAGAGAGACAAGAGAAGGCAGGTCTTCAGATAAGAGCTCGGAGGCCATCTTCTCAGGGAACAGAGAGCTATCTATGCAGGGGCCACTTAGGGACACAGCTTATCCACCCCACCCGAGGTCTCCATGCCTTCTGGACTTGGGCCCTGGAGAGTCTGGATTCCAGGCTCTTCCACGCTTTCCAGGTGAGCGTTGAAGCTGGCCATCTGGTCTGAGGGTCTCCCAGGTAGGGAGAGGAGGAGACACAATCAGCTGACGCAGCAACCACTCCCAGCTTCCACGGCTTCTCTCTAGGGCTACTGTCACCAAGTACCAAGCACATTTACATCCTCCTCCAGTCTTGGTACCTTTCTCTGACCGTTTCTCCAGACAGCTTTCCTGAACCAGACCAGCCAAAGACATCACTACGCAGGCAGAGAAACAACATCCTGAGAGATGAAGCAGACCAGCCACTGACAGGCTACGGGGAGATGGCACCCAGGTCTCCTCGTACCACAGCTCCAATCCTCAGGGCACGAGACCCGGCTGCCGTCCCGGCAGCTAGTCGCTGGTGAAGTTCTCGAAGGGATCTGATCGGACAGATACCAGGTTAAAGGTGACAAACAAAAATGAAAGATCAGCACTCCCTTCTCGCCACTGGCCACGAGATGCACGAATGTTCTAGTTTCTAGGTAACTACAAATATCCTGCCGGACTAATAAGAAAGGCAGTTTGTGTCCTCTGACCTGGAGACACCGGAGGCCGTAGCTCAGGAGCTGGACAGCAGGGAACTCTCGCCCAGGGGGCAATCTCCCCAAGCCCACCCCCGACCCCCTCGGATGCAAGCACTTGTCTAAAAACTTATTTTAATCTTTTAGGACACACACACACACTTAAACCCTCTCTCCCCTACCTAGAGATAATTACTCCTAATCTTTTGTTGCTTTTGGTACCTCAAGGTTTTTCTGAGAACTGGGGAGCCTGGGTGGCTCAGTTGGTTAAGCGTCTGACTCTTGACTTCAGCTGAGGTCATAATCTCCCAGTTCATGAGTTCAAGCCCCGCACTGGGCTCTGCGCTGACAGTACAGGACCTGCTTGGGGTTCTCTCTCTTCCTCTCTCTCTGCCCCTCCCCTGCTCACACACACACACACACACACACACACACACACACACACTCTCTCTCTCTCTCTCTCTCTCTCTCTCTCTCAAAATAAATAAATAAACATTTTTAAAAAAGATTTTTGAGCATTGGTATGCTTATTTTGACATAATAAAATCATATTTGGCATACTCCTTTGTAACCTCTTTCACTCCCTGAAAAGTATTTAAGGTAAATGTTTCCAGGTCAATAATATGCAACATTTCAGTAGTTCCTTAGTATTCCTTTCAATGTGCCTATCTTCCTTAAGCACCCCTCTCTTGCTGGACACTCAGGTAAAGCCCAACTCTTTTAAAAAACAAAACAACAACAAAAAAAAAACCTATGCAGGGCACCCGGGTGGCTCAGTCGGTTGAGCATCCAACTTCAGCTCAGGTCACGATCTCACGGTCTGTGAGCTCGAGCCCCACCTCGGGCTCTCTGCTGTCAGCACAGAGTATTCTTTGGACCCTCTGTCCCCTTCTCTTTCTGCCCCTCCCCCACTCTCGCACACACTCTCTGTCTCTCTCAATAATAAATAAACTTTAAAAAAAACAACCTATGCAATGAGCACCCCCTCACATACATCATTGTGCATTGGCTAATTATTCCTTTAAGAGGAGGAACTGGTGGGTCGACAGGCATATTTTCCAAGCCTGGGGTCCTCACTGCCGAATTGTCCCCGGCACTGCAGCTGTCTTAGGAAGTGAGGTCCCCGGGGCGGAGGGGGAGACTTTCCCAGAGCACATGGGCACCGAGCTGGGGGCTGAGGGAGGCAGATTTATGCGGTGGGGAGACCACCAACGTCAACTTGGGTGCTGGCTCCACCCTCGCGAGCTGTGACCTTGGGCAAGATATTCGGCCTCCCTGAGCCCCTCTCCTTCTTCATCTGTAAATACAGGTGTTACTCCCTACCTTTCAACAATGTAAGGTTTAGCGAGAACGTATTTGTGCCCTGAATGTTTCCCGAATGAATGAAATGAATTCATGGGTGGAGGGAGGAAGGGATGACTGAAAAAAAAAAGATAAACAGGAAAGAAAAGAAAGGAAGGAGAAGGCCAAAGTTTGCAAGGGCAATGGGATGAAAGTCAAGATGAAGTGTACTTGCTGGAAGGTCCGTGGACTGAGGGCAGGTCTCCTGAGGGAGTCCAGGGGTGAGGGGTGGGGGTGGGGAGGAGAGAAAGGGGTGGTCGAGGTTGAACAAAAACACTCCTATTTCCCAGTTTATTTCTTCCCTGGGAGCTGGTGGCTGGCGAGCAACCCGTCTGCGGCCAGAACATTCTAACGATGGCCAGAAGGCCTGCACGTGAGCTGGTCCTCCCAGAGACAGAACCACACAGCTCGGCCTTGGCCCGGCACCCACGGTGGGACGCACCAAGCCCAGCAGAGCCCCTACCTTGATGAGTCTGCCACGATCCAGTGAAGGGACCCACGCTCCCGGCCAGCTCGCACTTCTGAGCCCACGGGCCGTTGTCTCCTGGAAACCAAAAGAAGCAACACGTAGAGATCAACGGGCTTCTGGACTCTTTTGCCAATTCTCCCTCCCTCGTCCATATCCCTGTGCAGCGTAGGGGACTGGGCAGAAGGACCCGTAAAAACAATTATGATCCCTGCCCTCAAAGAACCATCCAGTTATGTGAGGCCTTCAGAGAGGTGGGCTTTCCCTGCCCCAAGCTAAGCCCCAGGGTGAGGTTCTTGGCTCAGATGCTTTTGCCTTTTCATAAAGTTTTACGATGGTCCTCAGACCCACAGCTATGTTATTGGGTGCCTCTGATGCACCCAGCGCCTCACCTACACTATCTCACGATCGTCCAACACGCTTTGCAGTAGATGCCGTTGGAGGCTCACTTAGAAAACACGCTCAGAGATGTTAAAGTGCCTTTTCCAGATTCAAACCGGGTCTCTGCCTGACCTGAGAGCAGTGTTTTCAACCGCTGCCCCCATTCCAGACTGGCACCTGGGACCCGACGCGCCTGAGCTGCCGGAGGACTGCACACACCAGCAACGCCAAAGTCACTCGTTAAAAGTTGACAGCGCCACCCAGAGGGCCCTCAATCAATACGGAAGAGGCCGGCAGGGCACCTGCTCTCAGCACAAACTTTTCCAGGGGGCTCAGCCTTGGAGGCCCCGGTGGACAGGTGCTCCGCACTCGGGCCGACAAACACTAGCACGAGGCCGGGTTCAAAGCAAGCCCCCTGCCCTGTGAGAGAGGATCACTTAGCCCAGACTCTGCCCTTGAGGGGGGTGCAGGTAGGGTTATCGAGTAGATCTCAGCGAGCTGGCTGTGTCGTTACTACTTCACCTGTAAACCAGAGGAATGTGTTTTCTCTTGCCGTGCGGTCGACTTTGTCCTTGATCTGGCCCACCAGGCGGTCCATCTCCCGGAGAGCTGCTCCATATGGCCTCCGGCCCCGTCGGTCTGCGGAGAGCCGTGTCCCGGACAAGGGTACGTGCATATGAGCCAGGGCCACGTACAGCAAGAAGGGCCTTCCGCTGGCACTGAAACGGGAAAGCCCAGAGGGAGTTCTCCAGAAGGCTCTGCTGGCCTGTTGAGGGTCTCCGTGGCTCTCCCTCGCCTCAGAGAAAAGCCCCAGAACTCCTTCCGCCCCAGGTGCTCAGGAAGTACCCATCGCTCCACAACGTTCCAAGGGAATGTGGAGACAATGCGGTTAGCCGATCAACAACTGGGAGTCGTTGTAATAATCGTTACTGCCCTTTAACACTTACTGAGAGCCTGTGAAATGTGACTCGTGCTGACTAAATTCGCCCTCATACTAACCCTCAGGTTCCCTTTCCCAGATGAAGCATCGGAGGCTCAGGGGGACAGGGCTTGTCCAAGGTTCCCCAATTCGTAAGTGGTAGAGTCTGGATTCAAACTCGCATCTGGCTGACAGCAAAGCGTTTGGTCTTAACTGTTGCACGTTAAAACCCAGTGCAAACATATTTTAAAATTGTATCTGTTCTTTTGCAGGATCCCGGCCGTCACATCCATTCACAGCCTTGGCCCTTCCCTAAGAGATGAATGGATGACTCAGGTTGACCACAGGCCATTCCAAGGACGCACATGACCGCCGCGGAACATCTAGATCAAGGATCCGTTACAGGCCCAGGCGCTGGCTGCCCCTATTCTCACCCTGAAGATTCCCCCTCCTGGGCGTGGAGGGACCTGGGTGGCCTCTGCTTCCTGTCTGTCTCCCACCCCCATTCCCGGGCTAGGATCAGGATCCAGGCGGCTGCACAACCACAGCCTCACCCCTGCCTAAAGCAGCAGGGACCTTCCCAGAGCCCCCTCCCACAGACCTTGCCTACGGGGGAGGGCGTCTCCCAGGGGACACAGTAAGGGCGAGGGGAGAGCTCAGTCAAGTTCATACAGAGCCGTGATAGAAGCATGGCTCTTTTTACCCCAGCTCCCTCCCCCAGGGATTTTTAAAAAAAAATTTTTTTTAATGTTTATTTTTGAGACAGAAAGAGACAGAGCATGAACGGGGGAGGGTCGGAGAGAGAGGGGGACACAGAATCTGAAACAGGCTCCAGGCTCTGAGCCGTCAGCACAGAGCCCGACGCGGGGCTCGAACTCATGAACTGTGAGATCATGACCTGAGCCAAAGTCGGACACTTAACTGAGCCACCCAGGCGCCCCTCCCTCCCTCCCCCAGAGATTTGATTTTCAAGTTGCTCCTTGCTTTTTTTTACTGATCCTGACTTACAACGCCCCTCATCAAGTCCTCTCAATGCCCCCAGCTCTGCTTCAAACTGCACCCTGCGGAGCCCCCTGCATCCTGGACCCCGGGGCTGGGGGGGGGGGGGGGGGAAGGGGAGCAGACCCTTGGTAGGGGACAAGGGACGCCCGCTTTGCCTGTACTCTGCTCTCTGTCGGTCATAAAACTCAGGACACATGTCCCACGACAGGGGCCTCTCCTTCTTCATTTCAACCAACAGTTTCTCTGCAACATTTCTAGGGTGGCACTGTCCAACGCAGCAGTCATGGGAGTCACATGTGGCTGTTTAGGATTCAATTAATGAAAGTTAAATAAAATTAAGCATTCGGCGGGCGGGGGATGGGCTAGATGGGTGACGGGTCCTAAGGAGGGCACTTGCTGTGATGAGTACTGGATGTTGTAAGTGAAGAATCACTGAGTTCTCCTCCTGAAACCAATATTGCACTGGGTGTTAACTCACGAGAATGTAAATGAAAAAGAACAAACAATTATAAGAATTCCATGTCTCACCTGCCACAACAGAAATGAGCCTTGAAGACAGTGCTAAGTGAAATAAGCCAATCGCCAAAGGGCAAAATACTGTATGATTCCATCTATAGAAGCTACCTAGAGTAGTGAACTTCATAGAGACAGAAACTAGATTGGTGGGTACCAGGGACTTGGAGGGATGGGGGAAACAGGGAGTTGCTGTTTAGTGAGCACAGAGTTTCAGTTTGGGATGCTGAAGAAAATTCTGGACATGCACCGTGGTGACAGGTGCACGACAATGTAAATGTACACAAAGCCACCGAACTGCATACTTGGAAAGGTAAATTCTGTGATATGCGTATTTCCCACTACATATACATATATAAAATTTATATATATATATATATATACACATATATATGTATACATATATATGTATACATATACATATACATACGTATATATACATATATATATACGTATATATGTATACGTACATATATACGTATATATATATATATTTAATTCAGTGTTTCAGTTGCCCTAGCTGAGTATCTCCAATGTTTGGTAGCCACAAGTGGCTGGTTGGCTACATCTTGAAATGCACAGATAGAGAACGTTTTTATCCTTGGGGAGGGTTCTATTGGATAGTGCTGACTGACGTCTGTTGACTGCTCTCCCACAGACAATAAGGTACAGTTGCATAGGTTTGTCCTGCACCAGGACGTCCTGCTGAGAAAATGAATCGATACCTAATTCCAGCCCACAATCCACCGGCCAAGCTGTGTTCCCCAGGCAGAGATCTGCACCCACCCAGAGGGGGCGCCTTTTTCTAACAGGTCGCTACCATATTGCAGTGGCATGCTGGACGGAGCTGGGTCCAATTTCAGGAATTGTGAAGCCAGTTGTTAAACATGGCCATCGTTAAAAATTAAATGATACAAACTTACGATCAAATAAATTACATGAAAAACAAAGGCAACACATTCTTATGACTTATCACATCCCGATCATTCTACTACATTCCACGTCGAGATGATCTGTTGTATCCGTGTGACAGAAATACCATCTGGCAGGGTCCCCCTGCACATCTCTTACCAACTCCACATTCAGTGACATCTTCTGGTGGCCTGAAATTAGTCGCGGTGAGAGTATTCATACTACAGAAATGGGCAAATGTTCCAAATCAGGGCTTTTTTTTTTCCCCCAGAGTGCTGGCTGTTACACGTTTACGAGCTCACCGCACGTGTGGGCTGATGTGGAGGGCAGGGTCCCGCTGCCCATACTGTCCCATTCCTGTCATCATGTCCCAGACTCCTGCCCATGATCCAAGTCCCGTCAGCACCCCGGGCCAGTGGCTGAGAGACATGTGCAATTCAGAGACAAGGCAGCCTAGACTCTGAGACCTATACCCAAATCCCTGGAATTTTTATTTCATGGCCGTGGGACCCTGGGCAGTTAACTTAACCTCTGTTGTCTGTACAATAGGGACGATTATACCTCCCTGATAAAGCTGTGATTATTAACTGCCTGTAGTAAGCATTTAATAAACGGTAGTCTTTTTATTGATAATTCCGAGTAACACATGATGCATGGTGCCCAGGGATATACCTCCTTCCCTGCACCCTGATGCCGTGCTGGAATTCAGAAAGTTAACGTCTGGAGGAAACGAAACCACATAAAACTGGCTCCCTGGGGGTGTCTATCCCCCAAGCCACCCCTTCCACAGGCTCTGTGCTGCATAAAAAATAAAAAGTGGAGAAGGTCAGTTGCTTTCCAGTAAAGAAATAGGTTGATTATAAAACAGTATGATTCCATTTTTGTTTAAAAATGTGTGTGTGTGTGTGTGTGTGTGTGTGTGTGTGTGTGTGTCTATGCCTCAGCACAGAATGAGGCTAGGAAAACTTGCTCAAATCTACCGAAAGGGGTTATGTCTGGGAGGTGGCATTTAGGGTGATTTTTCTGTTCCCTATCTGTTGGTCTCTGTTTTCAGAGATTTCTGAAGGGAACACATATTATTTGTGTGGCAGAATGAGTGGAGTGGTGAGCAGAGAAGGAAAAAAAAAAAAAAAGTAAGATGCCAGACAGGACATTCCAGGAGAGAGAGGACAGGGCACGGCGTGGAGATGTGCTAAAGATTAAAACCCAGGACAGCCAGGGGCGCCTGGGTGGCTCAGTCGGTTAACCGTCCAGCTCAATTTCGGTTCAAGTCGTGATCTCAAGGTTGTGGGACTGAGCCCCACGTGGGGCTCTGTGCTGACCTTGGAGCCTCTCTCTGTCTCTGTCTCTCTCTCTGCCCCTCCCCTGCTCACACTCACTCTCTCTCAAAATAAATAAATAAATAAACTCAAAAACAAAAAACAAAAAACCCAGGACAGCCGAATCCGGAGAAAACCATCTGATCTGAAATAGAAAGTGGCAGGTGAGGGGCCCCCACGTCCCATGGAAGGTGTCCAGTGGGCGCCCGGCCGGAGGGCCAGAAGGAGCAGACACCTGCCTGGTTGGTTTCCAGCCTCGGACAAGAGGTCTCCCTTGGCTTGGACTCGCTCCGACACTTCTCCGCCTTTCTCTGACCTTCAGCGTTACAGACAGCATTCTCACACCCACACTTGAACCCAGTTCCCTACTTCAGAAGGGCACAGGGGCTTGATTTTAAACAGCAAGCAGGGGCGCCTGGGTGGCGCAGTCGGTTAAGCATCCGACTTCAGCCGGGTCACGATCTCGCGGTCCGTGAGTTCGAGCCCCGCGTCAGGCTCTGGGCTGATGGCTCGGAGCCTGGAGCCTGGTTCCGATTCTGTGTCTCCCTCTCTCTCTGCCCCTCCCCCGTTCATGCTCTGTCTCTCTCTGTCCCAAAAATAAATAAACGTTTAAAAAAAAAAAAATTAAACAGCAAGCAAAGCTCTTTACTGGCAAAAAAGGAGAGAGCAGATGTCATGGGCTCCTGGGTCACGGAGTTGCCCGTCCCCTGCGCCTCCCGGGCTCTGGGACTCGACGCGGAACCTCAATAGGGAATACAGACTCCGTCCCAACCTGGGTCCCTTCCAGCCTTCGCCTCCTTCCTGCTTCGAGACTCTTTCTCTATATGCCAGCTTCTCGCACACTTCACCTTCGGCCCTCCCGTGCCTTGGTCACGCTATTCCTCTCCCGGCAGTAACCTCCCTGGTGTTTTGCCTAAAAACACTTAGTCGATTCTTAAGATCCAGCTCAAATGCCACCAACACGCCTCCTCTGCTCCCAGGTCCTGGATGGCCTCCTGCTCCCGGCCCCTCTCTTCCCCCCTCCTTCACCATACTCATCAGCACTGATGACACAACCTGTGTTAAAGCCAGCTTTCCACAATTCTGTCTCCCCACTAGCCTGGGAGCTACTCAAAAGCAAGGACAGATCTAATTCCTGTTTGTATCCCTAGCACAACACCGGGCACATCTTTAGGGCGAGATAAAGTCCCTCACTCATTATTCACTCATTCGATGAATATTTATGAAGCTCCAACTAGACGCCAGGCACTGAAATAGAGCAAGGAACATGATAGATATGATTTCCACCTCCTTGGAGCTTAACATCTGATTGGAAACAGGAGAGGAAAATGCAACTGAAAAATTAATCAGGTAATTATTTACAGATTAGCAGGAGCGACGGAGGAGGACTATACGCAGGGCGCTGTAGGACGGTGTGACTGGGGGGACCGAGCCGCCTTTGGGGTGAGGCAAGAGATCGCTAGGATGGTGACGCCTGCAGGACGGGATCTACAGGCGGGCGGTGCAGGTGGCCACTGGAGGCAGGTGGAACGGCACTGGGGAGACCCTGCAGGAGAGGAAGACACCAGGCCCCACTGCCCAGCTATCTGCTAGCTCACCTTGCCCTCGCTCTGTATTCATCGGAGCATTCGCACACGAGAGAGGGGCTAGAAGGGGCGGGGGGGCCAGGCACGAGCTTGGAGCCCTGAGGCCGGTGACAGGTTGGTGTAGGTGGGTGCTGGGTGAGGGGCAGGTGAGGGGCAGACCAGCAGGGGGAGAGCGGGGTGGGGTGGGCTCGAGACAAGTACAGGAGGGGACCGAGACCTTGACAGGGGTCCTGGGCTCCAGTCCAGGCAGGCGGGGTTGGGGTGGGGGAGGTGCTTATTTGTCACCTGTGTATCTCTGGGACTCGTTCTGAGTGATGAAGGCCCCGCCACGTTGGCCACGTGCCCTGATTTCAAATATCCTAAGCTTTGGTTCACACCGAGGCCCAGCACCGCCCCCCTTGCTGGGCCCTGTATTCTCAGTCCCAGAGGCTGGGAGGTGTGGGAGACTGGCAACTCTGTGACCCAGGAGCCCATGACATCTGCTCTCTCTTTTTTTTTTTTTTTTTTGGCTAATGAGGAGCTTTGCTTGCTCTCTAAAGCATCTAAATCAAGGGTTAGCTTTGGGCATGCTGCCAGGTCAAGGGAATAAATTCAACTAAAGATCTGGGAAGCCGGTTAAGCGTCTGCCTCTTGGTTTCGGCTCAGGGCGTGATCTCGGGGTTCAGTAGTTTGAGCCCCACGTCGCGCTCTCTGCTGACAGTGTGGAGCCTGCTTGGGACCCCCTCTCTCCCTCTCTCTCTCTCTCTCTCTCTCTGCCCCTCCCCTGCTCTCGCTCACTCTCTCTCTCAAAATAAATAAATAAACAAATTTAAATTCAACTAAAGATCTAAGTAAAAACTTTCAAAGAAGTCTAGGTGGGCTTCCTGCCGAGAAGAAGTGGGAAATCCCACCCTAGGGACTCCTGGCGGTTTTGACAAACAGGTCCGGGTGGGGAGAGTGGGGCCCAGGCCCTGGGGGCAGGGGTCACACAGGAGGAGTACAGATCTAGGGACCTTTCTTGCTGATGCTCCAAAAGTCATGGATGAATTGGCAAGTCAGATCCTAAAGAAATCAGCACGCCTCAGGATTGTTTCCCGTAAAGTTAAAAGACAACGGGGTTCATGTGACTTTTCTCTTAATAACTGATTAATAAATCAGCAAAACTCTTCACCTCCTTCGTACGATAAGGAGATTGTTCGTGGAATTTTCTGTTCTGGAGCTGACTGGTGGAGGAACAGCCCGTGCCCCCTGGAGAGCATTCAGCAGTCCCCAGCCGGCCGCTACCCCTCCTCGGACACCTGTGCTGTCCAAAGCGCAGCAAAAGCAGGACTGAACTGTCCCCCCCCCCAGCCATGAAGCATCCACCTGTCACAGGGCACGGGGAGCTGAACCATCTCGCAGCCCCAGGGAGCACAGACGTGTTCAACCCTCCAGATGGGCGAAGGAGCTTTGCCCGTTTACATGAGCCATCTGAAAATAAGCCAGTGTTTCTCAGGAAGGCCCGAAAAACTTATAAGATGCAATCCCTGAAGCCCCAATAGGCTGCCCTCCAGATTTAGGCCGTAAGTAGGTTTTATTATCAAGAAAAAATTGCTGCCTCTGCTCCGCCTGTAGCCCTGCTCTCCAGAAAAATCGGTGGTTGAGCAAGGGCTTGGGGGCATCCTTGCACGTTCAAGGACTGATGTGATCTGTTTTCCACAGGTGGAGTCTGTTTTTTATTCTGCACAGGCAAACAGGCACCCGGCATGTTATTTCTTGCCCTCTGAGGTTAAGGCTGTGGGGCATACGAGAGAAACTGCTGGAAGCTGTTCCACTGCCCTGGAGGAGTCTGCAGTCTTGGGAGAAAGTTGAGCCGTGCACACAGGGGCTCATGAGAGGCCAGAGAAAAGGCAGCTGTGAAGGGTCAGGGCAGGGCTGAAGTGATGGGGTGGGGGTGACCGTGTGGGCACGTGCCTGCCCCCCACCGTCTGTGTATCTGCACCGGGCCGGGGCGCACGCCGTGGCACGGTTTCTGCTCTTTGTTATTTTTAACGAGTCATTTCTAACACTGAAGGATCAGGGGATTTCACGCAAGGGCCAGGTGTCTTGTGTGTGGCCTGGGCTTTCAAGGGCTCACCGCTCCCTGAAGCCTTACACTCAGTCTGCTTCCCTCTGTCCGGTTAGCGAGCAGGGCCCCCTAGATGCTGGAATTTGCAACCCGTGTGCATTATATTGAATAACGGCCCCCAAACGTATCTAGGGTCTCATCGCTGGAAACTGTGAGTGGCGATGCCACTGAATTAAGGATCTTGAGATAGGGAGATTCTTATATATAATCACAATAATTATGGAAGACCTTAAATATAATCACAAGTGTCCTTAAAAGAGGGAGACAGAGGGAGATTGGACTACAGAAGACAAGAAGGCAAAGGGACAATAGAAGTGGAGAGTAGAATCACGTGGCCGGAAGCCAAGGGATGCCAGCAGCCACCAGAAGACAGAAGAGGCGGGGTGCCTGGGTGGCTCGGTGGGTTAAGCCTCCGACTCTTGATTTCGGCTCGGGTCACAGTCTCACGGTTTGTGAGATCAAGCCCCCGCACTGGGCTCTGCGCTGTAAGCGCTTGGGATTCTCTCTTTGCCGCTCGCTCTGCCCCTCCCCCATGTGCGCATGCTCTTTCTCTCTCTCAAGATAAATAAATAAACTTAAAAAAAAAAAAAAAAAAAAAGGAAGACAGAAAAGACAAGAAACATTTCTCCCCTGGAATCTCCAGAAGGAAACAGCCGTGTTGATACCTTTGATTTTAGCCCCATGAGACTCATTTTGGGTGTCCAGCCTCCAGGACTACAGGAGAATAAACTGCTGTTGTTTTAGCCAATAAGGTGGTGGTACGTTTGTTACAGCAGCAACAAGAAGCTAATACACCCTGTCAATTAATGAATCAACAAATGCCTTGAGCGCCCAGAATACAGAGGCAGACCCTCCCGTCCAGAGCTTATAGGAGAGGACAGTAGAGCGTGATCTGAGCAGGGAGATGGGAGGGTTCCTAGGAACTCTGGGAACACCCCTGCGGAATTTCTACCCCAGGCCTGGAGATTCCAGGGGAGGCTCTTCTCCAGCTTCATTTCCAGGGGACACGCCATGTATCCATCTTTGTGGGACAGGGGAACGCCACCACGGCTGGGGGGAATGCTGAGGCCAGGGGACAGCACGTGGGGACCAGGGGACTCCTTACCTCGCGTGTTGGATGAACTGGGTAGCTTTCTGCGCATATTTCTGCGCGAGACCGCTCAGGTTCACCGGCTGCTCCACGATGTTGAGGTTTTCATACAGAGGAAGGGCCACGTCCGTGTAACAGTCCCTCTCGTGGGTCCTGTGCGGGAACCACAGACAGCATTCATTTCCGCGATTGAAACAGCCGTGGTGTAGAACAAAATGCTTTTATGCGGCAACACACGTAAAGACAAAACACTTAATAACCTGGCCCCAGATGATTTGTCCAGTCTGCCATTTCCTCCAAGGGTAAAACCAATAAAACACCTTCTCTTCTCTGCCAACAACGATTATGCTCCTCAGACAGGCCTGGCCGCTCCGCAAAGCTCACAAAGGCTTCCGTGAGCTACAGAAATCGTTCCTCCCATTTTGTCGGGAGAGAAACTGAGGTCCAAACAAACTAAATTACTCAAGCAGAGTCCCATAGCCAATGAATAGCCCCCATCCCTGGCTCTCTCCACTGACCTCCCTAAATGACGCCTTCCATCTCTGGGGTGCTAATGCTTGGTGCTTTCCTAGGTCGGCCATCGGGACTCTGTGTGACATGACATCTAACAAAAACACAGATGGCCAGGGACAACTAAAAAGTTTCAAACCATGTTAGGAGAATTGGGAGAAGCTTTAGCCATTGGAAAAAGTGGGGGTCAAACCAGTTTTATCTCCTGAAAAAAAAACAACAAAAAAACCCTCAGCCCTTGGTCTTATAGATGGAGACGAACCTCGCATGCGAATGTCCCAACACATGTGGCTGAATTGGGACTCTGGCCGTGACCGTGGCAAATCACCTAAGCTTTTTTTTATTTTTAAAGCAAGATTCTGTTTTTTTTTTTAATGTTTATTAATTTTTGAGAGAGACAGAGAGACACAGGTGCAAGCAGGGGAGGGGCAGAGAGAGAGGGAGACGCAGAATCCGAAGCAGGCTCCAGGCTCTGAGCCGTCAGCACGGAGCCCAACGTGGGGCTCCAACTCACGAACCATGAGATCACGACCTGAGCCGAAGTCAGATGCTGAACTAACTGAGCCACCCAGGCGCCTGTCGATTCTTTTTTATTTTTTTTAAGTTGATTTATTTATTTATTTATTTATTTATTTTGAGGGAGCAGGGGAGGGGCAGAGAGAGAGGGAGAGACAGAAAATCCCAAGCAGGCTCCGCCCTGTCAGTGCAGAGCCAGACGAGGGGCTCCAACTCACGAACCGGGAGATCACGACCTGAGCCGAAATCAAGAGTCGGGAGCTTAGTTGACTAAACCCCAGGCGCCCCCACCTAAGCTCTCAGAGCCCGACTCCTCCCCTGCAGCGCGCCCCTGCCCTCTGAAAGGGCCAAACAAGACAACAAATGGTTAGCACTTTGCACGTTGTACGGCATACTAGCAACTCCATAAACACCGAGGCCCTCTGCCCTGGCCGCCAGGGGACCAGGAGAGAAGCCGAGAAACGTGGAGAGAGGAAGGGTACTGAGAGCCATCTCCGGGAGGCACTCTGTCCTCGTGGTGCAGATAAGCATCGGAAAGAGACGAAAATCCCTCATCACGCTTTGATGCAAACCCCGCCCCCCCTTACAAAAGCTTGGGGGACAAGGTGAGACTGGGGTCAATAATCGTCACGGCCACAGTCTGTGAAAAAGAGGAAAAGGTTATGACTCTACTGGGCATCCTCATGCTAACCCCATCGTTGGTGTCACGTGTTTTAGGTTTTTATGACCTTGTGGCAACTCCACCATCAGCTAAAATATCTCCCCCCCCCCCCCCCCCCGTCTCCCACTAAGCCACCCCCCCCTTTTCTTTTCTATTCGATTTAACATGGATTTAAAGGGGCCTGGCTGACATGTCATACCAAGTGTGACCACAGATGTGCCCCCCAAGCCGCAGCTGGTAAGGAGGGCAGCGACGAGACGTATCACACTTCACTTCTCCCCCTGCGACGTGCACACGAAGCCACCTGGCGTCTTGCGAAAAGGGAGGCCTGGGATGGAGGGGTGGGCGTCTGAAATTCTGCTTTTCTAACAGGCACCCGGATGACCGCCACGCTGCTGGGCCAGCGACCACCCTTCGTGCAGCGAGTAGGGTCTAGACTCAGAGGGACCCAGACGGGGAACCCGTGTCTCTACCTCTTACAGCTCCGGGGTGACCTGGGCAAGCGGGCACTTCCCTGTACCTTCACTGGTTTCCTTACTTGCAAGGTCAGGATAAATACCCACCGCACGCAGTGGTCCCACGGCTTCCAGAGCCCGTGACAATTTCTCAATAAACGGCCATTATTATGTTAACTACCGTGTTATTCATGAGCCAGCTAAGGCTTCCCTTCCCCGCCCCCTCCTGGGGGACTACACCCTTAGGACTTCACCTTGCTCTGGAGCCCACTCTCTGTTCCTTGGATCGGATTACCTTGACGGTCCGTCCCCGTCCCCCCGTGGACACGCTGGACAAGGAGGGTGGTTGTAGCCCGGGGTATCGGTGCAGCCCATGTCGTGGCTGTATGGGATTCCAAAGTAGTAATCAAAACCTGGAAGAGAAGCAATCGGTGAGCACCCCCACTTGGCTTCTGTGCTGTGAGCCTGCATTCTTACACCCAGGACAAAAATTTAATTTTCCATGATTTAATACTGCAGTGCTGTGGAGTATATAATTAAAAGAGGATTTGATTAATATCCCTTTGTAGTATGCAAAGAAAACTCTTTGCTGGGTTCTGGCTGTAAGACTAGATTTGCAAAACATCTTGGGATTAGAGTTAACCCAGAGTGGGAGGAAGTGGAGAGAATTATTGAACACCTACCATCCCGGGGCATTTATGAACACACTCAGTAAGCATTTGATGAAAATCAAGAACATGCATGGTACTTCAAGGAAGAAAAGAGACTGCCCTCAAGAGACTGAAGGGGAAGCAAGATATATAGATGAAACTGTAAAAGGTTGGGATGCGGGGAATGGAGAACCAGGACAGGGTACCAGGGAAGAGATACAAGAAGCAGGAGGCGATATGAGTAAACCTGGAGATGGGAAACAAGGCACCTCAGAATGCCCAAGTCGGCAAGCCTTTCCAGACTATCTGGTCCAGGGGCACAAGTATATGGCAGGTGCTCTCGCTTCTCAGTCCCAATGGCAGACGCCACGAATCCAAGATGGCACCACTTCCTGCTGAGCAAGATCCACTCTCAGTATCCCTCATCACAGGAACTCCAGAAATACGCACTCAAGGTGTCGACACCCTGATCTGGTTCAACCTCCTCACTTGTCAAGGAGGAAGAACGACCAAGTGGGAAAAGTAAGTTCTGCACTAATTTTTAGTCAGTGGAAAAGCCAGGTCCACACTTCCTTCACCTGCCGTTCTTAAAAAGCACATGTAGAAGATGCCATGGCAGCCCAACTGGAAAATGGGGCACAAGGGAAGAGAGGGGGAGGAAGGAGCACCGGAGAGGCGGAGGGAGTTGGAGAGGGTGCTCTCCCAGCGGGAGCCCGAGGCTGAAGGCTGGTTGCAGGCTGGTTCTCTGAAAGCCATTCTCCAAACGCAAAGATCTTCAGACACACGTTCCCCCATGTCTAGGAGAGAACATTGCATGGAAATAGAGGGAGGCATTGGGACGGAGGAGGGGAGAAGTCTACAAAATAGAGAACCGTGTTCAAGGAGAAAGCCATCCATTTGTTTCTCTAATAGCAGGGTAGCAGAGAAGCGCATGCCAAGTAGCGACAGGGGAGAAGCCATGGAAGTTGACGTAATGATCAACTGCCTTGAAGAGAAAGTCCGAGGAGGACTCTCATATGAAATGGAAGAGGCAGGTCAGGGGGAGAGCAGAGACAAAAACCACAACTTTGGAAAGCCATCGAAAATTCGGTGAATTGGACATTCAGAGAGCTTATCCGTCAGCACACTGACTTTCAGATCGTTGGCTCAGGCAGCTCGATCTTGGCCTATGCTCCAAGGCCCCGAGCGTCGGAAATCTGAGGCGGTGAACGGCTGCAGGAAGAAGGCAAGAGAGAGCATCTCCCGTTTGGGTGGATGATCTGCTTCTGTGAACCCTCGGGACAATTTGTACTTGCTATGACACTGGACATGTCTGGACCTCACGGGGCCAAATGTGCCCTGAGACGTGGCCACGGATGGGCTCACGATGAGAAGGCCAGAAAGGGCAAGCAGACACCAAAGAGGGGGGTGTCCAGGAAAGATGCCACGCGAGAAGGGCATGACACCAAGGGGAGCCCTGGGTCCCCCAAATGCACCTAAGTGACCCTGTGAATAAAGATGTCCTAACTCAGGAGAGGTGTACCCCAGGCGCAGGATGGCTTAAATGTTAATGGAATCCTTTTACACCAAGATCTTTACTTCCTGTTTCCCAGGTAACAAATTCCCCAAAGAATTCTTACCGCGGAAGTTGGGGTGGTAAGATCCATGGTGCCCGAGATGCCATTTGCCTGTAGGAAAGCAAGAGAGAGACTTTCAGACGAATCCCCGTGGGGGCTCCCAGCTGATCACATACTCAGTTCCCCATCAGTGCTGTCCTTTCCTGAGGACGAGCAAAGAGAGGCTGTAAATGCTGTGTGAAAGCCAAGCCTCGCTCTCTGGGACTGAGAGGGAGGCAGGATGAGTCAGGTTCTACCCAGGAAAGCACAGAGAGAAAAGGAAGACAAGCCTTTCCCAAGGGCCCAGAGAAGCCAGCAGGCTGAGCTTCTGCTCCTCTACGAGCATTCAGTGCCCACAGCGACCCCATGTAGCCCACTGCACCTGCTCTACCCTCCTGCGCTGGGGCCCCTGCCAAAGCTCGGAGGACAGGTGTGCGCTCCAGGTAGACTTGGAGATGCCTGGTTCCCTCCTGGTTTCATCATGCTCTCTGACCAACATCAGCAGCCCGCGGAGCCTGCACAGGGACCACCTCCCCACTCCCCACCCCGGCCTGCTGCTGCCCCAGTGAAGAGACCCTCACCTGGACAGCAAAGGAGGAAGTTAAAATTCACGGCTGCGCCTCGCTCTGTAAATGCGTTTCTTTGGGGAGAATGACTGGGTGATGTGCGGCAAAAACTCTGACCACGTTTGGGCTTTCTGACCTGCTAATTCCGCTTTGAGAAGCAGGGATCCCAGGGAAACCAGACACGGGGCAAGGGGCAGAGAACGCGGTACACAGATCTTAACAGCGGCAGCACTGAATGATGCCCAAGGGAAAGAAAGAAACAGGCAACCACAGGACTGTGGCTGAAGCAAGTTACTTTGCGAAGCCTCGATGAAATACTACCAAACTCTTTTTTAGAGACAAATGCATGCAGCAAAAGGTAATAACCAGGGAATCCAGGTAAATGGTACAGGGGTGTCTATTATTCCCTTTTTGCAACCGCTCTGTGGGTTTGAAAAAAAAAATGTAACATAAGATAGAGGGGAAATGGGTTAAGCACTCATGTGGAAGGCTTGGATTAAGCATCACGTGGAAATCCAAAATTATATTAAAATGTTTAAGCTGTTTCTAAGATTATTAAAATTCTAAGAAGTAGATAAAATGTATTACACAGAACTATAAAATAAGGGGCACCTTATAAAATAAGGTGGCTCAGTCGGTTAAGCCTCTGACTTTGGCTCCCGTCATGATCTCGCCGTTTGTGAGTTCGAGCCCCGCGTCGGGCTCTGTGCTGACAGCTCAGAGCCTGGAGCCTGCTTCACATTCTGTGTCTCCCTCTCTCTTTCTGCCCTTCCCCTGCTCATGCTCTGTCTCTCTCTCTCTCCCTCAAAAATAAGCACTAAGAAAAATTAAAAAATATATAAGTAAAATGTTTAAGCTATTTCTAAGATCATTAAAATTCTAATAAATAGGTAAAATTGTATTACACAGAGATATAAAACAAGGGGCCCCTGGGTGGCTCAGTCGGTTAAGAGTCCGACTTCAGTTCAGGTCATGATCTTGTGGTTCGTGGGTTCAAGCCCCGCATTGGGCTCACAATGAGGAGCCTGCTTGGTACTCTCTCTCTCTCTCTCTCTCAAAATAAATAAATACAACTTTAAAAAAATGTCAAAAGAAGAAATATAAGATATGAGGAAGGGGTTAAAAGGAGGACCTAGTGGTATGTATACAAGACCCTAAACCAAGGTTAGAAGCAAAGTGTGGGTGGTGCCCACGGTCTTGAGATCGCTTCGGTGGGTGTTTTGTTTTTCCCACAAGCATGCTTACAGGGAACTCATAATCACAACACAACGTGGCCGAATATCCAGTCTCTAAGACGCAAAAGGTAGACCGGATGGGGAAGGGAGAGTTAATGTGCAATCAGTGGCTCACGGGGAGTTCAAGGGTATGAAGAGGGAAGGGCAAGCCACAGCAAACCCAGCTCAGGTACAGCCCAGCCGAGTCCCAGGGGCCAAACCCTTCCAGGCTGTGACCACGACAGGGATGCGTGTGATGGGGCCAATAAGGATACTCAGCCCCTCGTGGGAGCTTCAGGGTAATTTACCTCCGGGGTACGGGCAGGAAGGGATGGAAAAGGAGAGATCTTAGTTTGTAGCCCCTCCCCCTGGGGCTCGCCCGCCTGGGCCAATGAATGCCAGGCTCCAGTCTGACCTTCTGTAAAAGTATGTGGGGCTCCTCGATCCAGAGGAGAAGGTGGGGCCGATACCAGAAACCAGAGCCTCCTACAGGTTAACACGGGCGCTCCAGGCATCAAGAACACCCCCACAGGGACCCTCGCCGCCATCCTGTTTGTTGGAAACCCTCCCTTGCCACGTCGTGTAAGTAGGGAGGCAGGAATCCCAGTGGACCCAGCTCTTGGAAAGTCAGAACAACAAGCACAGGCAGCCTAAGGGTGCTGTTGGGACTGCTGCGTTGCCTTGGCCTCTGGAGGGAGGCTGGGCAGAGACACCTGTCTAGGTGGAGCAAAGCATCGGAGGGAGGCTGGGCAGAGACACCTGTCTAGATCCTCCCGCCACAGGGTGGGCGACACTGAACAGGTCTCTCCACCCGTCTGAAAGTCAATCTTCGAACATACATCCTGGGGGAAATTATCATCTCACAAGGGATCTCCCTACCCTGATGCAAAGAAAAACTTAGCTCACTACCTGGCGTGTAGCACATGTTGAGTAAGAGGTGCCTCCAGAAATTTGAGAAAGGAAGCCACTGGACGGCGTGGCAGATGCCGCTGTTTGCCTACCTTACACCCATGCCCCCACTTGTCCTGCTCACAGAACTTCGGTTTTGTTCAGGGGATCGGAGACCCGTGCCCAAAGCCAAGTTGATCATTGTAATCCTAACCCCAGTTTTCCCAGCGGCAAGGTGTGGCCATAGAAATCCACCGAGAAGATTTAAGTGCGTTTCTGCCCGGAGGGAGGGGGAGTGTCTGAGAACAGATTCGCTCTCTCAGGAGAAGTGAATACAGGAGGCCACGGGAGGCTGGCACCTCCTCCCGTCTGTTTCTCCTTCCTTGAGGCCAAATTATGGTGAACGGTACTGAGCAGCTCTGTTGCAACCAAGAGGCAACAAGCCGGAGGACAAAAAGAGCAGAAAAAACAGAAATGGTTTCCTTGAGCCGCGCAGCCAATGAAAGCAATCACTCGCCTCTAAGTTGTTACAATGGGAGGAAAACCACTCCATTGATGGTTTTGGTTCCCTGTTAGATCTCTTCAGTTACTTATAGCTGAGAGCCTTCCTAACATTGACAGCAGGAAATCAACAAAAAGCAGACAGGAACAGAAGAGGGTGGTGGCACGTTGGGGCTACCCAAACACAAAGCGGGCACCCCATAAGTGCTATGGGAGGTGGGGGTCCCGGCTGCGGAGCTCCAGGGTTACCTATCATCCCAGTGACATAGCCAGCTTGCCGCAGCACCTCAGCCAAGGTGGTCTCATTGAGCGGAAGACCCCCCACGGAAGTGACCGCAAAGTTGTGCGTGACTCCATTGCGAAGGCCGAGCCGTCCGGTGAGCAGGGAGGCCCTGGAGGGGGAGCAGGTGGAGGCAGCTGCATGGAAATCCACAAACCTGCACAGAAAGAAAGGTGATGGGGTCCGTCTATCCCCAGAAAGCCAAACCGAGAGAAGCTCGATTCCCACCCAGTCCCTAGGATCCCAGGGCTGGGAAAAGCTCCAAGACCAGCTGAGGAAAATGAAGCTCAGAAGGGTCGTGCAACTAATTCAAGGTCACACAGCTAATTCAAATTGTCTTCATCCAGAATATTTAGTGGATCCTGTTGATCCTGTTTATCCCACACTTTGCATTCACCCAGTCACTAAAATTTGTATCTCTAAAATCAATACCCGTGGCTCTTAAGCGGTCACTCGTGGACATTCCAAGGTGCTCCAAAACTTTGTGTTTTGCAACATGCACATCCCTAGCTGAGGCTGAAGAAGGCGGCCTCCTTGGTGTGGCTCTCGTACTGCAAGCGAGTGCCTTCCTCTCCACCGTCCATTGAGTGCTACAGTTTTGGCATTTCTGTGCTTTCTGTTGGTGATTTTGCTCTGTCAAATGGTCCCCAAGAGTAAGACTGAAGGGCTGCCTACCGCTCCCAAGTGCAAAAAGGCTGTGATGTGCCTCATGGAGCAAATACAAGTGTTCGACAAGCTTCATTCAGGAACGAGTTACGGTGCGGTCTGCCATGAGCTCCGTGTTAACGAATCAAAAACCACAGTACACAAGAAGTCTTTAAACAGAAACACACAAGGACAAAACAAGGTTCTGTAGTGATCTGTTGGCAAAAATGTAACCAGAGGCTCACAGGAGTCTAACTCTGCAGATCCCCTAGAAGCAATGGTTCGGTATTCCGCGATCCAGCGTTCGCGGTGACTTTATAGAGTAACTATTGCCAATGACAAGAATCGGCTGTATCTACTACACAATACTGGATGCCCAGCCTTCTTTTTTAGACACCGTGGAGAAATATAAAAGAAGTCTAACCATTTTCTTGCCCTCAAGGAACGTGATTACACTTAATGTCGCAACTGGCCATGTGGGTCTCCCAATGTGAAGTTGTGAAGTATGTGAAGTTGATATCATCAAGGATTCTCATCAAGAGCATTGAACCTGAATCTCATCATGCCTCTGGACCTAATTTCCAGGTTACAGGAAATACAGCTGACAGAACAGATTAACTGACACCACAAGGAAATAATCTTAACAAACCATCTGACAACATTCTACGACACTCCACCACAACTGGTGTAGTTCTTCAAAAAGTCAATATCCGAGCAAAAAGTGGCATAGTGGGGGATATTCTACACTAAAGGACACTAAAGAGACAACCCAAATGTAATACGTGACCCTTGGCTGGATTCCAGTTCAAACGTGCCAAGAGCACATCTGGGGGCTAATTAGAGAAACTTGATAGGAGCTGCCTGTAAGATGCCGTGGGGGGAATGGTTGTCCATTTTCTGGATTACAGCCAAGTACAGGAATGTTTTTGTTCTTTTTTTTTCTTCTGGTTGTATTGGCATATAACATTGTATTCACTGAAGGCGTACGACATAACGATTTGACACAGGTATTTACTGCGAAACGATACCCACAATAAGTTTGGTGAACAGACCTCACTTCACACATAGGTACCCTTTGTGTGTACGTGTGATGAGAATTTTTAAGATCTGCTCTCTTATCACCTTTCAAACGCACAAGACGGTGTTGTTAATTACAGTCACCGTGCTGTGCGTTCCGTGCCTTAGAGCTTACTTATCTCATGACTGGAAGTTTGCACCTTTGGACCCCTTCACCCATTTCCCCCACCCCTACCCCTGGCAACCACCACTCTGTTCTCCGCATCTAGAAATTCTTTTTTTTTTTTTTTTTTTTTAGATTTCACATATAATTGAGATCATATAATATTTGTCTTTGTCTCACTCCTTTTACCTAGTATGATGTCTACAAGGTCCAACCCACGTTGTCAAAACGGCAGATTTCCTTCTTTTACAGCTAAATAATCTTCCATTGTCTACTACATAATAAAAAAAAAAATAGACATTTTTATTACATTTAGAATATATTTTTACTACGTTCGGAAAGATTTTAGGGGCCCACTTGGTTAAGCTCAGTTGGTTAAGCATCAGACTCTTGATTTTGGTTCCCATCATAATCTCACAGTTCATGAGATCAAACCCCACGTCGGGGCTCTGTGTTGACAGTGAGGGGCCTGCTTGGTATTCTTTCTCTCTCCCTATGTCTCTGCCCCTCCCTGACTCACATAAGCACGCATGCACACGTGCATATTCTCTCTCAAAATAAATAAACTTAAAAAAAAAGAAAGTTTTTGTTACATTAAGAATGCTGGTATTCTTTTTTTTTTGAGAGAGAGAGAGAGAGAGAGAGAGACAGACAGAGCGTGAGTGGGGGAGGGGCAGAGAGAGAGAGGCAGACACAGAATCCGAAGCAGGCTCCAAGCTCTGAGCCATCAGCACAGAGCCCCACGTGGGGCTCGAACTCATGGACCATGCGATCCTGACCTGGGCCAAAGTCAGACGCTTAACCGACTGAACCACCCGGAGCCCCAAGAATGTTTTTATTCTTGAGAGATGTATGCTATAGTGTTTACAATAAAATATAATACTATCTACACCCTTAGAATGACTCAAAAAAAAAAAAAACCCACCTTCTTTATAGACAGAGCGAGTACAAATAAAAATGGCAAAATGCTAATAACAATTGAGTACACTGTCCTTTTCATTTTCCTTTATATTGGAGATTTTTATTATTAAAACTTAATATTAATATTTAACATTAAAAGTTTCAAAAGGATGACAATCTGGAGTCTAGAATGAGCAGAGCTGTGACAGGATGGGTGGCCAGGCTGGCCAGAAGGGCAGGGAGGACAGGTGGCTTAAAGGTCAGGTAAGCACCGCAGAACCATGTGCATCCAGGCTGCTGGGAGCCCGGCGGGCGAGCTCAGCCATGCCGGGCAGAGGGAAGCCCAAGGTCCTGGGGTGGATAAGGGACTGGCCCACAGGCGCCAGGTCAGCGGAGCAAAGCCAAGCTCAGCGCCTCTCTCCTCCTCTCCACATATGACCCATCCTCACCTAGGGGCCGGTGGGAGGGGGTTGGGGGGCCTTTAAAAGTGCTCCTCTGACCACTGCTTAATACTCTAAAACGATTGCCTGGTGCGCCCTGAAAGCGCGCTCCCTCGCAGTCCGCCTTTCAGGCCTCTCCTTCCCTGCCTCCCTCATGCGCCAGCACAGGGGGCTTCTGGGTCTTTTTTAGGATCTGCAGATTGCCAGCTCCTTCCCAAGGTCGGCCTGCACCTGGCACGCTCACCCAGACCTTTGCATGGCCCATCCTCCCCGTTCAGTTTTCCCGCAAGGGGGCCTCCGCTGCCCTCTCATCAGGCACCCTGAGTGCATAGTTGGTAACACTGATCCCAACCCGAATTACCTGGTTTATTTTTATGTCCTTTCTTTCTGGGCCAACTTCCCTCCATGCAAGCTCCCTGGGAGGAAGGCTTTGCCTGTCGCTCACCGCTTATCTCGGGCTCCTAAAACTGGGCTCTACAAATACAGGGTGGAGGGGAGGAGGGAGGACGGTGAGGGGGGAGGAGAGGGGAAGAGAAGGGTCTTTCCTTCCCAACAACTTCATTGAAAATGTAACCCAACCTCGGGGCCCCTGGGTGGCTCAGTCGGTTGAGCACCGACTTCGGCTCAGGTCATGATCTCACGGCCCGTGAGTTCATGATCTCACGGCCCGTGAGTTTGAGCCCCGCGTTGGGCTCTGGGCTACAGCTCGGAGCCTGGAGCCCGCTCCCGATTCTGTGTCTCCTTCTCTCTCTGCCCCTCTCCCACTTGGGCTCTGTTTCTCTCTCAAAAATGAATATATGTTAAAAAAAAATTTTTTTTAATAGAAAATGTAACCAAACCTAAAATTAACCATTACTGGGAAGTGGGGGGTGGGGTGGGATGTCACCAAAAGTGGCACCTTCCCAACAGTTTTAAAGATAACATGCTGACATGGAGTTTGCTCATCGAAGTGTCACGAAGAGATGTGACATCGGGGACCCATGTGAAAGCAGGGGATGAGGTCACAGAGAGCAGTCACGTTTAAACACTCCTCCCCCACACTCCAGAGTCTGGGTCACCACCTGCCACCTGCACTATAGCCTCAGGTCTCCACCATAACCCCAGACCTGGACGGCGGTGGTCCCCAAACCCAGTGACAGCAGCTCTAGACCAGGACCGGCCATTTGCCCAGGCAGTCCTCCTGCCCGGGGCAGTACTTGCTCAGGGGCTTAGACCAGCCTGGGGACAGTTCCTTGTTTTCTGTGCCCCCGCAGAGGCCAGCCTGGGGCAAGAAAATGGGGAAATGCGTACAAATCCCTGCCTCTCACTCAGATCCAGCAATTCGGTCAGAAGACTTGGGACACAGAGGCTTAAAACAGTGTTTAAAAGGGACTCCACCTGGGGCGCCTGGGTGGCTCAGTCAGTTTAGCGGCTAAGACCCATGACTTCAGGTCATGATCTCAAGGTTTGTGCGTTTGAGCCCGCATCAGGCTCTCTGCTGTCGACGCGGAGCCTGCTTGGATCCTCTTGTCCCCCTCTCTCTCTGCCCCTCCCTACTTGCGTGCCCTGTCTCTTAAAAATAAATAAAACGTTTAAAAATAAATAAATAAAGGGACTCCACCTGCAGCCTCTCTCCCCCCTACGAGGACCAACTGTACTAAAAAGAAAGCCCTTACGAGTCTATAATGTTTTCACGTCCCTCCTCCCTCAGAGACGCCCTCCGGAGCGACCCCCCAGCCCGGGTACAGCCAGCAGGGCCCTGAACGCCCTGCCCTTCGCCACGACCTTGGCATCTGCAGAGGTGCTGGCCCTAAAGAGCAGTGAAGTCTGCGACCCCCCCCCCCCCCCCAGCAACACGGTGGTTTCCTCTTTTCTTGTTTCTTTCCTTTTTTCTCTGTCTTTTAAAAAAATGTTACACTCAAGCCTAGGGGCGTCTGGTGGTTCCCTAGGTTAAGTGTCCGACTCTTAGTTTGGGCTCAGGTCGGGATCTCACAGTTCATGGGATCGAGCCCT